CCCCCTGACACACACCCGCTGCTACACCGCTAGCTCCACTCCCCCTTCACCCCCCCTTAGTACCACTCCAACGGCTCCAACAAGTCCACCCCCCCTCAGCGGCAGCTGCAGCACAGGGAGACGGAGGAGGAGGAGGAACAGGGAACGGCACTCAGTGGCTTCACCCCCATACCCCTCACCCCCAAACCCTAATTCAGGAGAACGGGCTGTAGGAGGGGTGGGGCGCCAGTAGAAGCACGGGGGACAGTGGGGAGGGCAGGGGCAGCGAGGAACGGGCCGCCCACGGGCCTGGCATAGCCGCCCGAACCGCGCGCAGGCGGCCCGAGCCGCGCGCGGGCCTGGCGCTTCCCGTACGGGCCGCGCGCGGGCCTGGCGCAGCCCGTACGGGCCGCGCGCAGGCCTGGCGCAGCCCGTACGGGCCGCGCGCCGGCTGTACGGGCCGCGCGCAGGCCACGACGGGCGACGGGGGGCGACGCGCGGGTCCCCGTCGCCCGTCGCAGCGCCTCCCGGGGGCGACGCGCCGAGTGACGGGGCAGAAACCCGCCGCGCGCCTCGGGGCGCACGGCGGGCAGAAAACCGCCGCGCGCCTCGGGGCGCACGGCGGGCTGAAAACCCTAAGTCAACGCCGCGTACCACGAGGCGCGCGGCGGACAGGGAGTAGCAGTAGCAGCGGAAGCAGTGAAGTGGGGCCCACAGGCCAGGAGCATGTAGCTCTGATACCATGTGAGAACAGGAGGTAGTCTTAGGAGCCTAAGCTAGGAAAGCCCTAGCTAGGCAAACGATAGTTTAGGTGAAAGAAGGAGAGGGGTTGCACTAGAAAGAATGGGGATACAAATAGCAAACCCTAGAAGGGTTGTACTCGCTATAGAGCACCCCACTACAGGCTAGAGCATAATATTCTGACATAGTGCCACTTTAAGGAATGAATCATTTAAAAAGTGCAGCCCCCCAATTTCCATTTTCTTAGCATCTAATGAGAAAACATAATATAATATAATATAATATAATATAATATAATATAATATAATATAATATAATATAATATAATATAATATAATATAATATAGCATAAATATCATATAATATAATATCATTTCTTAGCTCATATGATTACTTTTGGTTCTATTGCAATTGTATGAGACGTCCGCATTCCTATGATCATTGGATGAGTGTTATGAGTCCAATTGAGCGAGCGAACGAGAATTGCTCTATTGAAGCAAAATAGTACATCGAGCGAATGGAATGAGAGAATATTATATATCAAAGCTAGCGTGGTAGCGGTAACGCGAGAATTTGGGGTGTGTTACGGGCCTAACGCCGATATTGGGAAACGTCGAGGTGGAGGTCCGGGGCGTGGGTTACCAACCGAGCCGTGAGGTTGGGTCGCGTCGTGAACAGTGGCGGGAACAGTGGTCGAGGCGAGTGTCGCGAGTGGTAACGATGCAATGTTGGGAACTGATGGCGGGAATAGTAGTGTATGCGCTAAGCAAGGATGCGAAGGAAGAAAAATAAATTTTCCTTATACTCCCCCCCCCCCCCTCCCCTAAAGGAGGCCCCACTTACGAGAGTGCGTGTTATCAGAATCACTAGGCAAGAATGATGAACTAGCAGAAGTTTGGGTACAAATATGAAACCCTAGTTGGGGTTGTACCCCATATTGGCTACCCCACTACAGCCTACAAGCATACTACAGTTTAACACACCCCCATAGGCAAAGTGGGGGAGAACAAAGGGTCACAAGACCAGTCCAGCAAAGCAAAGCAACGCCCAGGGTGGATCACAACGTCACCACACTCCGAGCACAAGTAAAGGCCACAAGGCCAGTTCACATGCAGAGCTAGATATAGTACAAGACAAGCAACACAGTGATCAAAACCTAGCAAGCAAGCAACAAGAAATATATAAAGTACAGTACAAAGAATGTCAAGCAGTGAGCAAGTGAGGAAACGTGGACACAAGGCCTAAAGAAGTACAGTGCCGCTGATGATCACTAGGCGGGAGCGCCTTGGTGAAGATATCAGCAGTGTTGGCCTTCGAGTCCACGTACACAAGCCGAAGCTGACCGCGCTGCTGAAGCTCTCGAGCAAGAAAGTAGCGAAGAGCAATGTGCTTCGTCCTGTGCTCCAGTCTGTGCTCCTGACACAAGGCAAGAGCCGCCTTGTTGTCACCGTACAGAACTGGCGGAGAACTAGGCCGCTCTCCCAAGTCAGTCAGCAGGTAGGTGAGCCAGCGTAACTCCTGTGCAGCCATGGCTGTGGCGTAGATCTCAGCCTCACAACTAGAGCCGAGAACAGAGGAAGAGCGGGTGGACCGCCACGAGACAGAACCTGAGCCAAGGCTGAAGGTGTAACCCTGTGACGACCGCTGCGTAGCCAGGTCGTCCACCCAAGAGGCGTCCGAGTGACCAGTGAGGACAACTCTGTCGCGTCCTCCAAGCACCAGCCCCATGCCTGATGTACTGCACAGGTAACGCAGCACCCTCTTAGCAGCCTCCCAGTGCTCTCGCCTGTGTCTCCCAGGCGCAACGTAACGAGCAAGGATGCTAAGCGGGTACGCGAGATCAGGTCGCGTGCAAGTCATCAGGTACATGAGGCAGCCTACAAGCTCTGGGTACGGGCCACTCGGCTCTACGGACTCGTCCGAAGGTGGAGCTGAGAGCGAGTGGCTGGTAGCCAGAGGTGTGGCCTGTGGTGAGGAGAACTGGAAGCCGAAGCGCTGAAGGACCTGCTGCACCATGTGTGACTGAGTCAGGGTGATGGTGCGGCGAGCTCTGTCCCGGGTGATCTGCAAGCCAAGGTAGCTACGCAGTTCACCCAGGTCAGTGCAGGTGTGTCTCTTCTGCAGCTCCGACTTCACACGAGCGAGTGCCTCAGTGTCAGCAGTAGCAAAGACCAAGTCGTCGACGTACACGAGAATGTAGAACGGCGGCAGCGACGTGTCTGTGCGCAGAAACAGCGACGGGTCAGCAGTAGACGGCGCGAACCCAAGAGCCGCAAGAGTAGTCCTCAGTGTGTCGTGCCACTCACGTGGCGCCTGGCGGAGACCGTAGACTGGCCGGCGGAGACTCCACTGGGTACCAGGGGGAAACGACCCAGTAAAGCCAGGTGGGCGGCGCAGCCAGATCTCCTCGTGCAGGCTGCCCTGCAGGAACGCTGTGCTGAAGTCAAGAGAGTGAAGCTCGTAGTCACGCTGAGTAGCAACGTGCAGCAGAACCCGAAGAGTGGTCATCTTCGGGGTGGGGGAGAAGGTCTGGAAGAAGTCGACCCCCTGACGCTGACTGAAGCCTCTAGCAACGTAACGAGCCTTGAAGACAGGCGGAGAACCTGGCGGCCGCTTCACCCTGAAAATCCACATGCCATCGACGATGTTCGCCCCAGGAGGGGGAACCTCGTCGACGTAAGTGCCTGTGGACTTCCAGGATGCCATCTCTGCGTCCATGGCTGTCTGCCACTGAGAGGAGTAGGGACCCGAGATCGCCTCTGCGTAAGTGCGCGGAGTGGGGATGTCTAGTGCATCCGGGTCTCCCTCAGGGGCAAGCAACCAGGCCACGAGATGAGGTACAGCAGCCGCAAGAGAGTCAAAGTCCTCCTGCCTGTCCTCAAGGACGTCCGTGCCAAGAGCACACTCACCCCCGACGGACGGAGGACAGACAGACGCAGACTCTGACTCAGCAACAAGGCTAGCAGCGTAGTCTAGACGACAGGCAGCAGCAAAGTCAACCAACTCAGCGACCAGAGCAGACGCAGCCGAGGACTCAAAGGTAGGGTCAGTGACAACAGTAGCGAGGAGACGCGTGACTGTAGGGTGCTCAGCGCGATACCGGTCAGACTCAGGGTCCGGAACGGCAGGCAAAGAGGACGCAGGAGGAGACGGTAGAGGGACACGCCGAGGAGCAGTAGAGGGACGCAGAGTCATGTAGTGAGTGCCTGGGACAGGAGGAGGACGCTCACGACGGACACGACTACCAGTGCGAGCAGGACGAACAGGCGACGCAGGACGAGACTCAGGCTCACGACGCTCTGTAAGACCTCCTGTGGGACCAGTATAAGGAGAGGGAGCAGGGAGAGGCGAGGCAGGCGGTAACTGTGACTGCGGCTGGACAGGCGGAGGACACTCTACGGAGGGAGGAGGACAAGGAGGAGGAGCCTGCCCAAGAACCTGCTGAAGGAGCGGTACGTAGTACGGTCGCGGCCGCGCAGCGTCTCCAGAAGCAGAAGGGACTCCAGCGGCCGGGTCCTCAGCACCAGTAGGAGCTCCAGCGTCCGGGTCCACAGCACCAGCAGCAGCTCCACCGGCCGGGTCCCCAGCTCCAGCAGCAGCTCCACCGTCCGACTCCTCAGCACCAGCAGCAGCTCCACCAGGTGGGTCCGCAGCACCAGCAGCAGCGCCACCCCCAGAGTCGGCAGCTCCAACTCCGCTAGCACCGCCAGCGCCAGAGTCCCCAGCTCCAGCAGCTCCAGTCGCAGTGCTCCCAGAACAGCCAGTCCCGGCAGCTCCAGTACCCCCAGTACGAGCACCCCCAGGACGAGCAGCTCCAGCACCCCCAACTCCAGCCGAGCCACTAGGACGGCGAAAGCGTCGGACGTACCAGTCACGAAGCTGCTGCGGTGTGAGAGACTGCTCAGCACCCCGAACCGGAGCACCCCCAGACACAGTAACCCGAGGCTCCGTAGGCTCAGTAGCAGCACCCCCAGGCTCAGTACCCGCAGGCTCAGTACCCGCAGGCTCAGCACCCCCAGTCGCAGCACCCCCAGGCTCAGCACCCCCAGGCCTCGCACCCGCAGGCTCAGCACCCCTAGGCGCAGCACCCCCAGGCTCCGTACTCTCAGGCACCGTACCCTCAGCTCCAGCACCCTCAGTCCCAGCACCTGCAGCCCCAGCACCCCCAGGCCCAGCACCCCCAGGCTCAGCACCCCCAGGCTCAGCACTCCCAGCAGCACCACCCGCAGCAGCACCTGAGTCACCTGTGACCTCGACAGGCTCAGCGACGGGAGGAGGGTCTACCTGAGAGACACCTGAAGGAGCAGGACCCTGAGGGGGAAGGGGGTCTACCGGAGGGGGACCAGGAGCAAGGAAAAGCGGCGGGGGAGGGAGGGGGGCAGTGCGGTAGGGGAAGAGACGGTAAAAGGGGACCGACTCGTCAAAGGTGACATCCTGAGAGGCGAAGACCCGGCGCGAGGTGGGGTGGTAAAACTGCCAGCCAGGCGCGTCAGGGACAAAGCCAAGGAAGACACAGGGAAGCGTGCGGGAGGAGAGCTTGTCCGCAGACGTATCGCGGACAAGGGCACGAGCACCCCACACCCGGAAGCGCGACGCATCGCCAACCTCCCCCGTCCAACGCAGTGTGGGCGAGGTCTCCGGCAAGGAGACACGGGGCCAGAGGTTGAGCTGATGCGCGGCGTACCGGACAGCAAACGGCCACAGAAAATGGGGAGCCGCCGCGTGGACCAAGGAGGTACGAGCGACCTCCATGACCAGGCCAATGCGACGCTCAGCAACCCCATTCTGCTGTGGGGAGTCCGGAAGCGTGAAGGTCTGCTCGATGCCCTCCGCCTGACAGAAGGTCCTCAAGAGGTCGGAGGAAAACTCACCACCTCTGTCAGAGTGCAGACGCAGGACAGGAAGATCCGTCCGGAAACGGCGGCGGAGCTGGAGACGAACCGTGCGGATCCAAGGGATCAGAACAGCAGGGACCTCACCCTTGGTGCGCAAGGGGAAGACCGTGGTGTAACGCGAGTAGTCGTCGACAACCAGCAAAAAATACCGCTCACCGCCCTGACCACGAACGCGGGCTGGGCCCCACACGTCCAGGTGGAGGGTCTCCAGAGGAGCCTCTGTCGGGGGGAACGAGGAGGAGTGAGGAGCGGCGCGCTGCCGCCCCTCGACGCAAGGAAGGCAAGGCGGCGCAGGCGAGGCAGGGAGGGGAGGGAGGGACCTGGGAAGACCGGACACAAGGAGGCGACGGTGCATGCCACGAAGGCGTGGCAAGGAGGGGTGACCCAGGCGGTGGTGCCAGAGAAGAGTCTGGTGCGACAGGGAACGACACTCACAGGCGTGGGCCACCAGACCTGACGCAGACACCTGACCGACAGCAGCTACCTGGGGAGACGCAGTGGTCAGTGTGTAGAGACTCGACCCCGGCCGACGGGTGAACGTAGCCAGGTGACGGCCGGTCCTGGAGCACGTGCAGATCGCCACACGCTGTCCGCCAGGGGTAAAGGTGTCAACCCACTGATCCTGGAGGACAGCGTTGCTCACCAGGTTCGTCGAGAACGAGGGGAGGTGGAAACCCGACAACGAGCCAGACGGAACCGCCGGACAAGGGAGGACAGTGGTGGACTGGGCAAGGACTGGGCCCCCAGAGGGGTCAGCCAAGGAGACTGGGACCGGTGCAGGAAGCGGTGTGAGCTCAGTACTGTCACGAAAGAAGCAACGGGAAGCACCTGAGTCAAGGGTGAAGGTGTGACAGGCCTCAGCCGGTGCGGTACCTGAGAGAGGAGTCTGTGTGGGTGCTGTACCTGAGAGAGCAGACTCGAAACCAGCCGGGACAGCACTGGGGGGAGCAAGTACAGGGGGCACCATACCAGAGAGAGCAGACTCACTAGTACCCAGGGCAGCAGGCTCTATACCTGGGTCAGGCGGCACACACAGGTAACAGTCTCCCTCGGCACTAACAGTCAATGCATACATGGCAGCAATAATAGCATCATAGTCAAGAGCAAAGACATCAACACCAGCCCTCATGAGCTCAGCCCAGCGGGGGCGCTCAACATCCGCACCCATCTCCTCACGCCAAGCGTCGTCAAGGCGGGAGAAGCAGCGGTACGGGGTGTGGAACCTCCCACACGTCTGTCCCTTGCGGTCACCTGTGCGAATGACATAAGAACAGCGGGCACTGGCCCCCGACGTCCCACGCTGAGCAAGCCACTCACGAAGCTGCTGGGTCGTCTGGGGACGCTGCTGCTGCTGGGAGCTCTGGCCAGAGCCAGTGCCTCCACTCCGACCTCCGCCGCCACCACTACCACCGCTCCGACCGCCACCGCCACCACCGCCACCACCGCCACCGCCGCCGCCGCCGCCGCCGCCACTACTGCCACTGCTCCCTCCGCCGCCCCCGTCTCCACCACCGACCCCACTCCCACCAGCGCTCCCGCCACCGCTCCCTCCAGCACCGCCTCCCCCCCCACCTCCCCCACCTCCTCCCCCACCAGCGCCACCACCACCACTTTTGCCCCCCTTGCCCTTGCCGGTGCGGCGCCTCCCACCAGGAGTAGAAGCAGCGCCAACAGACTCAGCACCAAGGAAGTCAACAGCAGCAGCAGCAGCGTAGGAGGGAGCGAGGGGAGAGGGAGAACACCCCTCAAAGATGGGGGTGCGAGGAGCGCCACGAGCAGCACCGACAGCTACAATGCTCTTTTCGGCCGCGAGCAGGTGCTCCTCTAGGAGGGCGACTGTGAGCTCAGTGGGACAGCGAGCAAGGAAGTGGTCTCGAACTGAGCGGAGGGTGTCAGGGAGACGGGTGACTATGAAGTGGAGTGTCCAGTACAGTGGAGGGGGGTTCTTAGCGCAGAACTCGGTGGGAAGGGCGGCACGCAGGCGAGCATCACTAGTGCGAAGGTGGGTGATAAGATCGGCGACTGTAGTAAAGGTGGACAGATCGGGGAACAGGTACGGCAGCATGAGGCGGCTAAGCTCGGCTGTGGCAGGCGAGGAGTAGCGAGCGACGACAGCGTCGTACAGGGCCTTAGCGGATTTGCAGTCGCCAAAATGCTCTAGCTCAGCTAACGGCAGGTGACTGCGAATGGCTAGGCGAGCAGCTGCGTCACGAGTCTGCCAGTGGGAACGAACACTAAGCTCAGCTGTGGCAGGAGGGGCAGGCGCAGCACCAGACGCGTAGTCATAGAGCGACACATGCTCCTTGCTATCGCTCAGGAGAAACAGCTGCAGGTCATCTAGCCAAGCGGTGAAACGCACAGGGCGGCCCTCAGCATCGAACGACAGCACGCGAATGGAAGCCATAGCGACAGTGTGACAGAGTAACGCAAGCTGCCGCAGCAGGGGAAGGCGACTGTGCACGGATAGAGAGCAGCGGGCGAGGCTGGCGCTACGGGCAGGCGGCGCTGCAAGCGGTCAGTGCGACGGGAGGGCGACGCTGCGAGCGGGCAGCGCGGCGGACGGGCCGGGAAGCGGGCAGCGCGGCGGGCAGGCGGCGCTGCAAGCGGGCAGCACGGCGGGCGGGCGACGCTGCGAGGCGGGCGGGCCGCGAAGCGGGCAGCGGGCGGGCGGGCGGGCGGGCGGGCTGCGAAGCGGGCAGCGGGGCGAGCGGGCTGCGATGCGAGCGGGCCGCGAAGTGGGCAGCGAGCGGGCGGGCGGGCTGCGAAGTGGGCGGGCCGCGAAGCGGGCAGCGGGGCGAGCGGGCTGCGAGGCGGGCGGGCCGCGAAGCGGGCAGCGAGCGGGCGGGCGGGCTGCGAAGTGGCGGGCCGCGAAGCGGGCAGCGAGCGAGCGGGCTGCGAAGCGGGCGGGCCGCGAAGCGGGCAGCGAGCGAGCGGGCTGCGAAGCGGGCGGGCCGCGAAGCGGGCAGCGAGCGGGCGGGCGGGCTGCGTAGCGAGCGGGCCGCGAAGCGGGCAGCGAGCGGGCGGGCGGGCTGCGAGCGGGCGGCTCGGCGAGGGGCGCGCGAGGGCGCTAGTGAGGGGCGCGCGAGGGCGCTAGTGAGGGGCGCGCGAGGGCGCTAGCAAGGGGCGCGCGAGGGCGCTAACAAAGGGGCGCGCGAGGGCGCTAACGAAGGGGCGCGCGAGGGCGCTAACGTGGGTGCGCGCGAGGGCGCTAACGAGGGTGCGCGCGAGGGCGCTAACGAGGGCGCACGAGGGCGCTACGAGGCTAGGGAACGGGGTAGCGTGGTAACCGCATGCGAGCGGTGGTGGGCCCTAAAAAAACGATCGGTAGGTCCTAGGGACCTCCTGCTCTGAATACCATATCAGAATCACTAGGCAAGAATGATGAACTAGCAGAAGTTTGGGTACAAATATGAAACCCTAGTTGGGGTTGTACCCCATATTGGCTACCCCACTACAGCCTACAAGCATACTACAGTTTAACACGTGTACACCCCAAATATTGCGGCTCCGTAGATACTCGGTGAGGACAAGGTGGTTCTCGATTCTATCCAGGGGTACCCAGTTGTCCTCGGTGGGCGTGCGGTCTTTCCAGCGAATCAGGAACTCGATCCAACGAGCTCCACGTGGGTCACGGATTCGGTAGCTCAAGATTTTTCGGGTGTGATGATCGGCTCCCTTAGCGGTCGTGTCATGCTGGTTGGGCGATTGCGAGGCAGCTGGCTGGTGGATGGGACGTATGGGCGGAGTAAGCTGACGTGAAATGACGGGCTGACGTACCAGTCCGTTGGGAGGAGGAGGAGGGCGGTGACGGGTGTGATTATTTGGCTAATGCGAAATGGTCCGCAATATCGAGGGCGGAGTTTTAGGGTGATGGGCAGGCGGAGATTCTGGGTGTCAAGGAGTACGAGGTCATCGGGCTATTAAGTTACGGGGCGGCGGTGACGATCGGTGCCACAGGTTCCGCCAGAAGTTGCTGGTGATTTAATTGTCGCGTTTGCTGATGATTTCTGCTGGTATCTTGTGCAGTCGAACGACGGTGGTATCTTGTTTTCTTCGGCTGTGATTGACTTTTTGCAGGCTGCGAAATGTGCCATCTTCGTTTGTTGATCGACGATGACCAGGGTCTCATTGTTCTCACTCGCTCCAGCCGGAAACCCGTGACGAAGTCCATCGTCACCTGCTGCCAAGCACGCTCTGGGGGTGGTATCGGTTGTAACTGCCCTGTCGATACCTGTCGTGATGACTTCATGACTTCACGATGTCACGTGACGCTGCACGTCAGTCAGCATCTCAGGCCAGTAATAGTATTACTGCAGTTGCTGCCGTGTTTTTTCTACTCTGAAATGTCCTAAGGTAAATCCGTCATGTGCCTCCTGTAACAGTAATTCCCGTACTAGAGTGTAGCCCGGTACTCAGATGTGATCGGTGCCAGCTTTTACGTTCTAGGCTCCTTTTGCTGCTACAAACTGCTGCAAATTTCCCCCAGTAAAGAATGGGTCCGTTTGGTAGCAGTGAGTGAATAGTTCTGTAAGTAGTGGGTTGGTCTGGGCGAGTAGTATGGCGTGTATCTGGGCAATTGGGCGGGTCAGCGCGTCGGCGATCTTTGATGCTCCCTTTTTGTAGGTGACTGTGTAGTGGAAGTTTGACTCGAGGAAATCGAGCCAACGGATCTATCGTGGGTTGAGGTGGGGCTGTACGCGGAGGTACTGTAGTTATTTGTGGCTGTTTGTACTGTCACGTCGGCGCCAATCAAGTAACAACGCCACACTTTGAACACTTGCACGATCGCGAGCATTTCGCGGTCATGTATCGAGTAATTCTTCTCAGGTGGGTGCAGTTTTCGTGACTCGTATGCGAAGGGCTGTAATCCGTTGCCAAAATCCTGTAGCAGTACCGTTCCAATGGCAATGTCGCTTGCGTCTATTACTACTTAGAATGGGCTGTCTAGGTCAGCAATGCGCAATATGGGCGGTGAGGAGAACAGTATTCAGAGCAGAGAAGGCAGCATGCTCTTTCTCCCCCCACGTAAAAATGACCCTTTTTCGTAGCAGATCCGTCAGTGGGGCAATTAACCGTGCCATGTCGGGGACGAACCCACGCACATAAATAACAAACCCTAAAAAACTCTCCAACTCCGTGATATTAGTCGGGGGCTGCCACGCTTTCACCGCGTCTAACTTTTTCGGGTCGATATTCTTAGAATTAGGACGTGAATGATGCAACTATGAATGAAAAGAGTACAAGTACTAACCCTAATTGGGTTGTACCCCTTATGGGCTACCCCACTGTAGCCTAGATAACATGCACCAGCTATAATGTTTGACACAACCCCATAGGCAAAGTGGGGGAGAACAAGGGGTCACAAGACCAGTCAAGCAAAGCAAAGCAAGCTCAGGGTGGATCACAACGTCACCACACATTCTGAGCACAAGTTCAAGGCCACAAGGCCAGTTCACATGCAGGAGTACATATATATAACAGTGCTAGGCAAGCAAGAGCAGGTATATATATATGTAACAGTACAAGCAAGGTCAAGAGGTGAGCAAGTGAGGTCCAGTGGGCACAAGCCCCAGAAGAGTGCAAAAGCGCTGATGGTCACAAGGCTGAAGCGCCTTGGTGAACACATCAGCAGTGTTGGCCTCAGTGGCCACGTAACGCAGACGAAGCTGACCACGCTGCTGCAACTCTCGAGCAAGGAAGTAGCGCAGAGCAATGTGCTTCGTCTTGTGCTCCAGTCTGTGCTCCTCACACAAGGCAATGGCTGCCTTGTTGTCGACGTACAGCACTGGAGGAGAACGAGGCCGCTCTCCCAGGTCAGTCAGCAAGTAGGTGAGCCAGCGTAGCTCCTGAGCAGCCATGGCCGTGGCGTAGATCTCAGCCTCACAACTGGAGCTGAGAACAGAAGAAGAGCGTGTAGAACGCCAAGAAACTGAACCAGAGCCAAGACTGAAGGTGTAACCCTGAGACGACCGCTGAGTAGCCTGGTCGTCAGCCCAAGAAGCGTCTGAGTGCCCAGTGAGAACAACCCGGTCTCGCCCTCCAAGCACTAGCCCCATGCCCGACGTACTGCACAAGTAGCGCAACACCCTCTTAGCTGCATCCATGTGCTCCTTCCGGTGACGGCCGGGA